TAATTGTAAACTTTGGTAAAGTTCTAATAATCTAGCATGTTGAGTTTCTGAAAGTTGAAGTTCCATGATTTGTAAAATTTTCAAAACTTGAGAAGAATAAGGTCTTTTATATAATAAAATTCGTGTTCAGGTGTTTAATTAAACTTTGACTAATTTGGGGTAATTATCACACAAAGTCTATAAAATGCCTTTGTTTATAATGTTTTAATCTCTCTGCATAAACAGGATTAGGTAATGTATTACCAATTTTATCTCTTATCAAATAAACCTTATTACCTAACTTCTTTTCTATCCAAAACGGTTCTGTCCATTTAGGATTAAACTTTTGTCTATGCATTTGTCTTTTAGTAGAATCATATAATAATATAATATCATTTTCGTAATACTCATAAGCTTTAGCCAAATGTTTTTGCCTTTCCTTTTGTAACTCTTGTGCACTTGTTACATTTTTTGAGGAGATTATGAGTGCATCAGTGAAAGTTCCTATTAAAGAACTGATCCTTCGTTCTAAAGCCTCTTCATAAGTTAAAACAGAATGACTTTCTTTATCATTAAACTCGATATCAATAGGAAGTTGTGCTTCTCTTCCATGTACCAAATAAAAGGGGGTATACTTTGTTAATTCATGCTTTAAGGTACGATAAGCAAAGAGTACTGAAGGTATCAATTGATCCCAATTAGATTGACTGGTTTGTAAACATTTTGCAATAGATCTACACAAGGTTCCATTGAATCTTTCTGTTAATCCATTTGTTTGAGGATGGTAAGATGATGCCAATTTGTGTTGAAATCCTATTTCCTCCTTTAAAAGTTTAATTGTATCATTTACAAAATGAATACCTTTATCAGATAAGATTATAGATGGGGTTTCATGTCGACAAATGATTTCCTCATAAAGAAATTGAGCAGCTTCTTTAGCTGTTGCTGTTTTTACGGCACGTGCTTCAGGCCATTTGGTGAAGTAATCTGTTGCCACTATGATATATCTGTTTCCATTTTCAGTTGTTTCCAAAGGTCCAACATAGTCAATTCCTATTTGAAAGAAGGGTCGAATAACTGGTATAGATTCAGTTAATTGTATCTTTCGTGGATTACCAAATCTCTGACAACTATCACAAGATTCGATATATGCTTTAATGTCCTTTCCTATTGTCAGCCAGTAATATCTTTCCAGAACTTTCTCAATCATTTTCTTAAATCCAAAATATCCTCCTAAGGGGGATGAATGTAGATCATATAAAATTCGTTCTCTGTCCTGCAGAGTTATTACTCGTAACGGTTTATCAAAATTGTTTTTGTTTTTCTTTAATAATTGCCCTTGTTCTACCAAATATTATGTCACTTGCCTTGCTAATCTTTGTTTGTCACTTGTTATATCCATATTGAGTGAATTATTTTGTGTTTATTTATAAAATTAAATTAATATAAGAAATTCAAGAGACTATGTACTAGAGTGGTTTCCAGCCTTGAAAGTGTGTCAGCATTGGTATGGTTACTGCCTTTCCTCTTTAAAATAGTATATGGTTCGTATTCTGATAAATGAATTATCCAGCGGGCTAACCTTCCTTTGGGTTGTTTATATTTTTTGAGCCAGGATATTACTTCGTGATCAGTAACAATACAAAATTGAGATCCTTGTAAAAAGTGATAGAAATATTTGATTGCCCAAATTACAGCAAGACATTCCTTTTCAGTTACGGTATAATTTCGTTTAGCAATATTTAAGATCCAGTTAGCATAAGCAATTATATGTTCTTTTTCTTGATCATCGTTCTGAACAAGTACTGCTCCTACAGCATAATCAGAAGCATCAGTGTGAAGAATAAAGGAATCAGTAAAACTAGGGTGTTTAATAATTAGTCAGCTTATAAGGAATTCTTTTAATGTTTCAAAAGATCATTGGGTTTCCTCTGTCCAGCAGAAGTTTCTATCTAACTTGATCAAATAATACAATGGTTTTGCAATCTTTGAAAAATTACGAATAAAACATCAGTAATAAGAGGTGAGACCTAAAAATGACCTAACTTATCATCTCGTTTTTGACACTAAACAATTTTTAATTTTATCAACAAGAGTGAGATTGGATTTAATATTATCCCCAGAGACCAAATGTTCTAGAAATAATATCTGTTTCTTGAAAAAGTCACACTTATCAAAGTTCAATTTTAACCTGGCTTCGATAAGGAGTTAAAAAATTTGTTTGAGATGATCGAAATGTTTAGCAAGAGTCTTGGAGTAAATTATAATATCATCTATATAGATCAGTACAAATTTTCATGTGACATCATAGAAGACTTGATCCATCAATCGTTGAAATGTATTAGGTACATTCATAAGTCCAAAAGGCATGACGGTGAATTCATAGGTTCCAAATTTTGTGCTGAAGGTGGTTTTTTCCTGGTCCTGCACATTCATCCTTACTTGTCAGAACTTAGAAGTTAAATCAAGGGTAAAATAGTATTGGCTATAAGCTAGAGCATCCAACATGTCAGATATTTTTGGTAGAGGGTAAGTATCGGGTTTAGAACTTTGTTCAATTGACAATAATCTATAATGAGATGGAATTTTCCATTGACTTTTCCAACTACCAAAGCTGATGAGATCCAAGGGCTATGCGATGGAACAATTAATTTTTGTTATTTTAACCGTTCAATTTCCTCCTTAATAAAGGCTTCATGTCAGGATGACATCTGATAATAGTGTTGTCAAAATAAAAGAGCATTCTCTGTGTCAATGTGATACATAACTATGTTAGCTCGTTCCAATTGCATCATATCATAAGCTATAGCTTGTGGATATTTATGAATTAGGGTCTGGATAAGTTTCTTATGTTCATTATTTTTCAACTTTATCTACTCCTCCCATTACTAATAATGATTGGAAATGGCAGGCTTCTTGTGTTGGCAAAACTTTAATGATTTCTCATCGGAAATAATTATCCTCACATGTGTTGCATTTGTCATTAATTTCCTTTAGCTGTTTATAACATCAACATTGTTTATCAGGACCTTGGTACCAATGTTTAGTTTGGTGTGCCCATTTTTAGTTAACTATTCACGGATTAAATTGTCATTCAAAATAGTTATATTCTTGTCAGGTAAAATCATCCTGATCAATTTTTATTTTCCATACATTAAATTTATAAGCATGTTGATCTGGGCTTTCTTCTTCAGTTACTATTAGGCCAAGAGTAACTTCCTCTTCATTTTCTTCCTCATTAGAGTCTTCATCACTATCCTCATCATCACTGTTCTCCTCTTTAGGTAGAACAGGTAAGGTAGTATTTTGGCAAACAATAATAGATTCTCATTTTCCATTTTTTACAATTACTTTACAATCATGATAGTCAATTACTGCTTGGGCCTTTCGTAACCAATCAGTTCCTAGAACTATATTATAAGCTTGGGTGTCAATTACTTCCATATTGGTAGAGATAACTATATCTTCTAGGTGAACTGGCACATTCTCTATAATTCCTATACTGGATTTCTTGTTACCATAAATACCAGTTATCATTTGTTCAGATTTTTGAATAATTTGTAATCCAAGATGTTCTAAAAATTTTTGAAAAATAATGCTAGTGGAGGATCTACTGTCAAGGATAATATTAGCAGTCCATCCTTTTACTTGTCCTTTACAAATTATGGAGATATTACGAAAAGAACTTTTTTTCAGATTAGTTTCTTCTATTTTTCCTTTTCCTTTCTTTCCCTTTTCCTTGGAAGCTCATTTTCTTCAAGAGGTTATTATCTTTTTTACTTCATTTTTAAATAGTGATAAGCTCATTAATTGTTCAAAAGATATTTCAGCTTATACCTGCCACCCAAATTCAAAATCCAAATGCTGAAATCTCAAATGCCAAAATCCCAAATCCCAAATCTCAAATTATGATTAGTATTTTTTACTGAAATCCCAAATCCCAAATGATTTGGGATTTGGGCAACACGTATATTTCAGCTTTAGTATGCATTAGATCAAAAATAATAAAATATGGCATAGTCATTTATGCAATATTGGATTTGTCAGTAGGTCCTTTAGATGTTTTCCTTTTCTTTTCCTTATTCTCATCATCTTGTACTTCAGGATTAAGTTTAGCTTTTACATTTTGTCCTAATTAGTTCCTTGGTTTTCCAGAACCACTAGTTTGATTATTCCCATCAATATCCATACTTCATTATTCAATATGAATATATAGTTAAGTAAGTTTTGGATTATTTTCTCCAGTAAATGAAAGGTTTGTATTATCCTTTGCATACTTACCTTCTTGAGGTGCACGTTCTAGTTTAAATGATTGAATGAATATTGAAAAAGTTGTCCTACTCTTTCTTGGTTCATCGTTATTAATACGGTTTGAATTGAAACTTGTTGAAGAGCTTGCTATTGAACAGGTTAGTTCACAAGGACTAAATTTACTTGTGGTTGTGAGAGAACTTGTTGCATTACTGATTGATACATTTGTTATGGCTGCTGTTGTTGAGCAAAGAAATGTGTAGCATATATGTTATTTTTTTTATTATTTGAAGGGAGTTGTTAAAAATTAGATGGTTATTATGTAGGATAACTTCTTGCAATATGTCCTACTTGTCTACACTTGTAACAAGTTGGATTTTTATGTGGTTACTTATTCTATGATCTATTTGTATTATTATTATTTCCTTGAGTAGGAGGGGATGTTGAAATATTTGGAGTATTTACTGCTAATCCTCTTAAAACTTATATTAAAGGAACTAAGACTTTTGTTATTACGGCTTCAATATCATTTTGTGGAGCAGGATAGTTTTGAGAAATAGGTGGAGGACTTGTATGGTTTCCTTCAAATTTTATTAAAGTTTCAAGGTAATTCTTATTGTTTTCATCCATTTGGCAAGCTACCTCAATTACTTGTTTGAGGGTAGTATTATGTCGAAAGGATAGAAGTAGTCAGATTTAAAAGGCAATTTTTCTCCTCAGTCCTTTCATGAACTGATAAATTTTATCTTGTTCACTTCAATTTTCTTGATGATCTACTCTTTTGATTAATCATTTGATATCCTGAACATAGTGGTCAATACTTTTGCCTACTGTTTGCATTCGATTTTGTAGGTCAGTTTTCCATTGTAGAAGTTTCCCTTGAGTTCAGAATTGTGTTAAGAACATGGCCTTGCTGTTTCAATTATTTGCAGTACTTCAAGATTGGAAGACTCATGTGGCATCATTTATAATTTGCTGATATCATGTTTGAGCTTCATTCATTAGATGTCTTCTTACTACTTGAAGTTTGTATTCATTGAAATATCGATTTATTGTTGCACATTGTTCAAATTTCTCAAGCCATTCCATAAGATCCTGAATTCCTCCTATAAATGTAGGTATAGGAACATTATTTTGTACACAAGATATTTACCTATAGCTCAGATGAGATTGAGGAGTTGTCCTACTTGACTGTTATTCATATTTATTAAGTTATCAATTAGGTCTAGTTGTTTATCGTCAGATATTTCAGTATTGAAATTTGTAGTTGTGTAATCTTCTAGTTCTTGGAGATTTTCAAGTTCCTCTAAATGTTGAATGAATAATTGCATATGCTGGGTATAATTATTGATTTGATTTACAAGGGTATCTTGAATTTCTGGTTGTCTAAACCTAATACTAGATAAAAGTCGATTAACTATTCTAGTTTATACAGGAATATTAAAATTATGAATATACTGATTAAATATTTCAGTAATTATACAAGAAAATTGATATGCAGAAGAAATAAAGGTGAACCAATTCCAAAATGTGTTGAATTGATCCGAAGTGTAATTAGAGGTAGGATAACAAATAATATAAGAAGAATCTAAATAATTAGAAAAATAATGATTGAAAGGGGTATCGGGTAAATGTAATCTATCGTGAAAATTAATTAATGTCTGTTGTTGATTCCAATCAAACATAAAGAAAACTATCTAATAAAATATCACAACCTCACAGGAGGCACCAATTTGTCACACCAATATGTGGACAAGGGTCTGAAGGATAACTAATATTCTTTAACTAAACTAACTTAAACTACTTAAAT